AAAAAAAAACACTTCAGCTTAGAAAAAACAATGATACTACACGAGACTCAGTGACAATGGAACAATACATAATGTCTTTATAGAACAATTTGAGGTACTATTTGCATAATATATGAGTTCTTATTTTCAATGACGTTGATAAATATGTGGATATATATGGTCTTATAATCCATAAATACATGATGTTACTCTTCTGCTTTTGCAATAAACATGGCTCCATATCTCACCAGACTAATAGCAAACATGCCAAGAGCAGCAAAAGAGAAGATGCACCATTGAAGASTACACCAAAGCTTTGTGATGAGTGATTTCTCTTTTATGCACCTATGAGTTTTCATCAAAATAATGAGCTTTACAACCCACAGTCATATATGTATCGAATGAACCACTCCATAGAAAACATTCAGTAATTCTTACCCAATCAAWGCATAAAGTATCTCTATACATAGTGATCCCAAGCCCAACCATATTGAAATGGGTGTGTACTTTTCGATAGCATCATAAAATTGTCCCTTAGAAAATGCTGCAAGATAAAGAAATAATATATGATTTTAAAGAATGTTTTGAGATACCTTTTTAAAATTTAAAAATTGTTGACTTTGAGGGAATGATGGGTGTATAGAATTAAAGTTTCCTTTTATTATCACATATAATTGATCGTTAGATCTTGATTGATCATAGATGTTTTTKTGATAGACTGAATGACTGATAAACAGACAAAAGGAATTTTCCTGGACATACTTATCTTTDATTTGATGACAAATTTATCAGAGACTTTTAAATCAAATAGCACCACCATCCAGTAGAGAACATATCCGATCACAAAGGTGAATACAGCTTTTCTCATTAAGCCCTTGATAATGTCCACCTTTGTGTGGAATAGTACTTCAGTCTCTTTTTTGACTGCAATAATTAAAAATATTAATAACTACAAGCAACTTTATGATATCAAACACTTTTCATAGCAGGACTCATTACTTTGTGCAAAATGGTTTAATCTCTTTGGTCAGATTTGTTTGTTGAATTAATCACCAGTGACAGTCAGCCAGTCTATTAATTTCTTATCAAAKGCCTGCCCTTAAAAGCAGTTGAGTTACATTGTGATAAATAAAGGTTGAAAGTTAGCTAGACTATGATTGCTTTATYAGTGCATGGGAGCTAACAGTCTCCTTTGCAGCCTACCCTTCTGTCCCTCCTGACAGGAAGCCTCGGCAAAAGGGTGGACTGTCAAAGAGACTAAAGGTAACAAGACACTATTTTTGTCCATTTGTGGTTGCTCATTGTACAAACCTAGAAAAGATGGTAGTATGGTTCTGAGGTGCTTGTCATCCAATATAGGCACAAGTAGAATTATCGCAAGAATATTAAAAAAATTGTAGTTTCCAGTCAAAATGATCAAGACTTGAAAAAGTAGCTAGTAGAAAGAAAACAATGATATTTGGCAAGATTGCTTTAAATGATAATTTTCATATACATAAGTAAGTCCATAAAGCTATTAGGTACTGAATCAGACAAATGTCATGTAACACAATATGCKCATGCACCTTCAAAAATATTGTATATTATACATTTAGGAGCTATGCTCTTGTATGTCTTTACCTGGGAATAAAAAGAGAAGATTCTTAAGGACCTTATAGGTGCAAAGAACAGCCAGCTAAAAACCATTAATATAGTATACCTAAAATAGAAACACCCTAATATTAGCAACACTACCCCCACATGAAAATCAATCTCTTTATTGGACCATCACTACACTTACTATATCATCACTGCCCTTACTAGAGCATCACTCACCTTCCTATACCATCACTCCCCTCACTAGAACATGTCACTAGACCATCACTCCCATTACTAGACAAGATCACTAACCTTACCAAATCATCACTCGCCTTCCTATACCATCACTCCCCTTACAAGATCCTGTCATTAGAGCTTCACTCCCCTTACTATATCATCACTCCCCTTCGTCCATCACTCACCTTCCTTACCATCACTCCCCTCACTAAATCATGTCACTAGACCTTCACTCCCCTTACTATACCATCACTGCCCTTAATATACCATCACTTGCCTTCCTATACCATCACTCCCCTCACTAGATCCTGTCACTACACCTTTACTCCCATTAACTATACCATCACTTCCCTTTATACCATCACTGCCCTTACTACCATTACTAGATGCCAACACTTCCCTAAGTAGTCCAGATCATTTTAATCTCACTAGACCATTACTCCACTAATTAGCCCTCTTATTAAAAGTCAACAACTACAAAGAATAATTCAATCATTTGACTCACACAAGTACAATACTTAGACTCTGAAACCATCGCGGAAGTTGATGCGCATACCAGGCCAGTGGACTGGGAATACACTAAATCAACAATACTCTTTGTTAAAAAACTGAGCAAATCAAAGAGGAATAGAGGATTGAGTACCTGTGATTCATAATGCCAGTCAAGTGCAGTGAGACCCCACCATGTAGGACATTCACTAGTAAGCTTGACTACCCCTGAGCAAAACATTAGTCGAAATGCCAGCCATTTAACCAGCCATAAAGTAATACTATCATGATGGCACAACCTGTGTAAGGTATAACACTAGGTACTAAGACTACCATGAGATAACAAAGATAGCAAACAGTCAAAGCACTAAATATAATGTACCTGCTGTATCTTGATAGTGGTGAAACCAACACAGCTAAAAACCCTGCTTCCATCAACAAAATATCCCTAAACAAACCGCATGACTTGAGACTTATTTGAATTATATAGTAACAGCATATGTCCATAACATTATATACAGTTGAATCCTGCCTTACAGCCACTCTGTTACCACAGCCAATACCCCTGGAGAATGAAGTCCTCATACTTAATTACTACGTCCACAATTTGATGTCCTACTTTCAGTAGCAGGATTGCAGGGTTCCACTGTATATGATAATCAAAAATGGTTTGTCTTACCACTGGAACCAGAGAAACGTTTGACCAACCTGTCATAAACAATAATCAGGAAGATCAAAAACAGTCACCTGGAGTGTGACACAAGGAATAATAAACAACAATTATATACACCTCTACAAGTTTTAGATTTTAAATTTTATCATGTCATAGTTATTTCAACCCAGCATCATTATCTGATTCTCAGTGACAGATMCAGTGCGGCTTTGTTGCATGCACACCATTAGTCCCACAACACACATTCATTGGCCTCTTCTAGTAAGTACATGGTGTCATCCCCTAATGATGCACCTCCCTGGAAAAAAATCCTGCATCTGCCCCTGATTCTATAGCAAAAAGTATCAGTGAAGGCGGTGCATTTTTATTCGGTCTGTATAATCATAATTTAAAGCATATTTAATTTTAATTACATTGTACCTGATACAAAGAATAATAGAAGTACCAAAGAATAAAGAATGTAATAGAGTCCCTCCATGTCTCCATCGATRCTGAGAGCATTGAAATCACTATGCCAACAAGACACAACAGCTCCATACCAGTTTCTATGTCCAAACCAAAGTGTGGCATAAACCAGAGTAGTGTTGGCTTGTGGATATAATTTTCCAATGCAGTTCCATAGTCTTAATGGATAAAAGAAAAATAGAAGAAACATTTTAATTAAAATCTAATGATTCATTTTAAACAATGTTTAAAATGTTTAAATTTGTCATGCAAATTATAGCAACTTTCAGTAACATTGGACACCAACTGTAATTCAACTTTCATGTCATGTATTCTCTGATTGAAGTTATGGGATTGACGATTGTCATTGGCCAATACTTTTGTTGGGAATTTAAAGTTTGATTGACATCCATGACAACGGCTCGACCACTATTGTCAGAACAAAGCTTGTGATTGATCGAGACAACAAAAACAAAGAATTGTATGCCTATTGTTAGACTACTGTCCAGACATCTTTTTGCCTGTCTCTCTTTGTTATTTCATCAGCATCATGATGAGCATCATGATCGTATGTTGATGAAAATTACTGTAAATTTATGATGCTAATGAAACACAATCTCAACAGACGTCCCTTGCACGTGACAATAATATAATTCATCTGGGGTACAAAACAATCGAGTTTTCCAAATGGATTGCATTGCCGTTTGAAGTGCAAGCGATCTGAAAATACTTGTGGCGAAACAAACACGAAAGAAAGCAATAAAATTTTACATGACAACTTTTTTCATATCAGCTGTACCTTGTTTGAGAAATATTTTAGCAGGCATTAGACCATGGCGACCATAAAGACCTAAACACAATTGGTTATTGTTGTCTGAAATAAATGTAAACCCTCAAAAACACTTCTGCTACCCTTTTACCTGGAATCTGGACATAAAGAGAGGAAAAAGCAAACAGATAAACACTTGCTATTCCACAAAGAAAAGTTTTTCGAACCAAAACCTGTTCATATCTCGCCATGTTGAATTGATGATATCAGCGGTTTCCCTTTGTCTAAATTCACCGAAAGGGTCTGGTAACTAAGAGTGAAAGAAGAAAGCCCAACAAAGCGGTCAGTCTTTTTAAAGCTTTTTCTTGCTGAAATTTGTGTGTTCTTGTCGAATATATCAAGGTAAAGTTATAAATAAGTGTATTAAATTTATAAAAATCTTGTTATATTTTTTGTAACTGTAAGGTTGCATGAATTCTTGAGTTTTTGAACGTAAGCTTTATTAAGCTTAATATCGAACAAGGAAATGGCGAACATTTCCTCGATTATCTTTGATATTTTCTTTAATGCCCTGGCGTAATAATTCTTACAGGTTACTTTTAATATATTTATGCTTTTCTTTAAAGTATCATCATTGAAAAGATCACGTATTTTTCATGATAAAGTATATAATTTCCCGTAGGGGTAGGGGTAGGGAGAGATGAGGAAGTTTGTATGGCAAAAGCTTTATATATTCTTACCAAATATTTTACTCAGCTATTATTCATGCAGTAATTGATTRTAATGATTAACATGCCCTTCCGATATGTATTCGCAAATTTTGAGTATTTAAAAGATATATTAGCATATCATATTTTACACAATATTGTATTTGTGAAATCTTTTATTTAGATACAATTATTATAGTATATATTTATTGCAGGATATTTATTGCAGGTAATTCACTCAGAAGACTGCTCGGTGTGAATATTTTTATAAAAATGTTCTTTCTAGATCTATCTGTCTTAATTAGAATATATATATTCTGTTCTCTAGCATTAAGTTCCGAGTGCTACTGTCATAAAGTTGATTTGTCATGTTTTGTAGTTGTACAAAATTCCTCAAAATAATCGTTCCCCAGTACGAGGTACTTATATTTCTGGAAGAAACATACAGTATTTATATCAATATCATATATTTGATAAAATTTGGTTTTCTGGKTTTTTTTCGGAGTGCATGGTGAGTGGAGGAGCAATCATGGACAGCATTTTCAAGTTGAAATTGTTTTACTAGAATATCAGTAAGAGTATATTAATATGTAAAATTTGGTGTTTTTTTTTAAGGTATCCCAACATGAATTTCCAAGAACTCATGTCAAGAGCAACTCAGAATTGCAATAATACCATGAAACAGGTACATTACAAGCATAAAAAGGATTGGTGTTGGGTGATGTCTTTGCTTAAAGTACAATCTATATTGCATAAAATGCTCGTATATTTACCTCTTGGCTATTAAGGGTTAGTATGGCACTTCACCATCTACCATAGGGAGGGGGCTAGGGTTAGGGTTAGTATGTACAGTGGCACTTAACCAACCCAAATGTTTTCGACTATTCTCACAACACCCCCTGTATAGTGGTATTGGTATTGTCTCGTGCTGTTAATAAGAATGAATGTTAACATGGAGAAACTAGTGGATCTGTGACTTACATGTATATGCTATAAAAATAATGAGATTCTTTACCAAGAATGCAAACTATGATGACTGCAATGAATTTGTTCAAATGTTGTTTGTTTCATAATTATAATTTCACTTCTCATTACTTACTTTAACAGAGAAAAAAATCAGGCCATCTCCACAAAGACAATACTTCACAGGTTTCAAGTTCTGCAGTTCAGGCTTTTCTTGCAAGAAAGCAGCAAGAACAAAAACAGCGACAAGGTAATTTATATATTTCAACATGGATTTACTTAATAGCACTATATGACTGCATTATTTTTRTACTTTTCAGCCTTTCCGCTAAGTTGTTTGTGCATATGAAACAACGTTTTCCTTTTTTCAAAAAGCATCAATTTGAAGTTAATGCTAGCATATTATGCCAAGTATCATTCAATCTCAGGCTTCAACAATTTGAAGAAAATTTAATTCAAAAAGCATATTGTAAAATTTAATTTGCTGACATTATTATACGTGTGTTCTTAAATGATCCTTCTCGTACTCATTAATTATTCATGAGGTATCCAGCCAATCCCTGATTGTAATATGTACAACATGAAGTAATTGAAACCAGAGGAAGTACTCGTACCTTGTATTCTAACTTATTTCCAGTTACTTCTACCTTTTTCAAGTTACTTCTACATTATTTCCATCTATTTCTACCTTACATGTATTTCCAGTTACTTCTACCATGTTTCCAACTACTRCTAGCTAATGATAATCAAATTGTTAGAAATAATCAGTCAGTTTAACATTAATTTAGTGAAAAAAGGTCTTTGATACATGACTCSGTCACGACTCGATCCCCTACCGTCCAGTCTATATGCGCCGTCTTATACCATTACACCACCGAGTTTCTGATGCAATTCCTTSGAAGATAACATACTTATAAATTTTATGGATTAGGCTCATTAGGAATGCCATGAATAGCAGACAAAGACAATTTGAAAAGCTTTTGTTTCAGAAAGCCGTCCGGGATTTGAAGAACAACAAACGGTGCCTCATGTATTCAAAATTATGAAAACTGAAAACCTTAGTGGAGATGCAATAAATCAATATATTTCTGTTATATGTATTTCCTTCGCTTTTTTCCCCTCCCGAATAATTAATGAGTATGAGAAGTCGTTCAAAGTCCTCCAATTGATGGTTTTCAACCATTCCCAGGAGAGAAAGTTGAACAAAAGATGTCCGCCATTGCTGGTGGACCTKACAAAAGAAAWYCACCACCGTGACTGGTGGACCTTTTTGTTTTGCTCACTCTCATGGGAATGGTTGAAAACCATCAATTCGGACTGGACGGGATTTCAAGTCTGCGCAATTAGTTCCAGTCCTCGGTATTCAAAATTATGAAAACTGAAAACCTGTCAATATATTTCTGTTATATGTATTTCCTTCGCTTTTTTCCCCTCCCGAATAATTAATGAGTATGAGAAGTCGTTCAAAGTCCTCCAATTCGGACTGGACGGGATTTCAAGACTTGAAATCGCGCCCAGTCCTCATTGTCTGACTTTAAACATTACTTCACAAACTGTAGCTAAGTTCATTTTTGGTTAAACAGTAAGATATTTACCACTTTGAAAACAAACAAAAATTAACATTATGGCTATTTTGTATAGTCCGGTAACAGACCCTTTTTTATAGCCCACCCATTGAGCTGATGATGGTTCCCATGCAAACCGCATATATGGTGTTGTCTTAGTTAATGAAGCATGCAGCATGCACTCACGTGTATTAAAATATAAATGTGTACAATTTTATAGCTATTTTATATGTGAAACAGTGCAGCAATGTCTTATATCGAAAAAAAAACGAATGAAGATGAGGCGCCGTCCGTAGAGCTCATAAAGCGTGAAAAATCAATTACAGTTACAGCGASTCGTCTTGATTCTTGTTTGACTACAGAGGCAGTATTCACAAATCGGCTATTTGCAGGATAATCATTCATGTCATACATATTCTTTTAAGCTGATGAAGATGCCGCTCGCCGAGCCCGCATTGAAGCCAGGATTGAACAAAACTTAAAACAAAAAAGAGAATCTAAAAAAGTCAMGCCGTCAGATGAGTCACCAGTCAGCAACCAAACCTGTCACAATACAAATGACCAAGAAAAAACTCAAAAACAACGAGATACAAGACATGAAAAATCAACGACAAAACGAGAATCACGTTCTTCAACTTTAAAAAGTAATAAAGATGAGTCAAGAACAAAACACGGAAAGGAAAAAAACATCAATTCTTTAACAAAGACGAGGAAACTGACAAGTAAACCTAAACCAGCTGCACCAAATTTCAAAGAATTACTTGAAATGGCAGAAAGAAATCGATTGGGTCTGAACAAACCACATAATGAACATTCAAAATCTCATGAACTTTCAAAGTCTGACAAAAAAGCATTAAAAGATAGATTAAAACAAAATCCAAAGAAAGAAGTACAAGAAAGTCGTGACAATGGTAAAAAGACAAAAACCAAAGAGTTACCTACAACAAAAGTCACTACAAGTAAAACGTGCAGTGAACAGAGGTCTCTAACAAAAGCAAATAAAACAAACTATTCCAGAGATGAAGCCAACAATAAACCACGATTAAAACGACCAAATCCCTATACTACACCATTGCAACAGAGAGGCAGTCATAAAAGGCAATACCGCAGTTACCATGACGATGAGGAAGAAGATGATATGGACGGGTTCATTGATGATGAGGAGTTGGATTGTGGTGGAGATGTATCGGCTCATATCAGGGAAATATTTGGATATGACCGACGCAGGTAACAGAGTAACGATTAATGAACGGTGGTGATGTCAGCCCTCATCAAATGAAGCATTTTTTCTCGTTGTAGGTTTGCTGATGATGACATGGATGATTCTGCCATGGAAAGCAGTTATACACAGATTGAAAGAGAAGAACAAAGAAGGTATCGATGTTTGTTAAGGGCTCTAACTTGAAAGATTTGCCCGTATTTTTATTTTATTTTTATTTGTTTGTTTGTCTGTTTTAGTTTATTGTTTTTGTTTTGTCGTAAAATCCTTTTATGACCAAAACCTCTTAATTACTAAAAATGGCTTTGATAAGTGAAAATATGATTCCTTTTTTCCTGCGGAAGATCAACAATGTAAATWTTTCATCATTGGTTTATTATGAAACAAGTTGATGGTATGTTTCGATTTGTAGCTCCAAAATTGCAAAGCTTGAAGATGAAGTTGCATTTCTCAAGGAACAAGCTGAATTAAAGCGAGAAAAAGAACGATTAATGAAAGCCAGCAAGAAAAAACGAAAATAATTTAAATGAGATGAATATAAATTTTATTATAACAATTTATTATAAAAGTAATAATTTATAGTTATTTTTGTCAATGAATAAACCTATTTATGGACTATCAATTATTAATCAATGTACTACTTTGATAATWTTAGACAATTTGTCATAGAGGTATTTCTAAAAGTTTTTAAAACCATACCACATCAAAGATATGTATAATATATMAATATTTTTAGCATTAAAAAACCGACAAAGGTAGATTTGCTGAAAATATTGATACATTATACATATCTTTGACRTGGTATGGTTTTGAGTTATCCAACAGCGCGCAATTTACAGTGAACTGAATTATCGATTCCATCGAATTTTGTTACAAGTTACAGTCTTTGTTATTGAAATTTTTGGGTCATGTACTTGCTCTCGGAACGAATCTCATGATTCAATGGACAAACAACAGATGATCTTTCAGACAAAAAAAATATACAGAAAAAATATATATCACTGTATAGGTGGATCTTTGCTGACGTCATTGTTTACATTTTTTTTTCGGCTAACACCACATACACACTGAATATTGAAAGAACTCTGTAAGATTAGCTGTTATTGATAATTTGAGCTAAATCCATGGAATAGATTTGAATAGATTTTTCTGTGTGGCAAAGTCTGTGTGGCAAAGCGCTAATGAGCCATACATTCTTYGTAAAATTCGTAGTTTTGAAGCCATATTATGCGAAATATATTAGATATATCAAGCTCAAATTTTCGTGGAGTGCTAATTGAGCTAATATCTGTAAATACTCAGTATAGATTTGGATTTAGCTTGTTTAAAAGCAAAAAAGCTTATGCTTATGCTAATGAGGAAAATCATGTAAACAAAGATCCACCTATATAAGTACAGTACTCATAATGGAGGAATCAAAATGGAGTCTTCGAGGGTTGCTACTATAACTGAATGATTTTTCACCCCCTTTGAAAAATCCTGTATCCGCCCCTGTGGTCTCACATGAATGCTTGCATAAATCAGAATTCGTGACTCACAATATATTAGACTTGTTTTAAGGCGTCAATAACAAAAATCTAGAAAAACCTATAAATTACACTGAAAGAATACGATTACTCTATAATAGTTTAATTTATAATCAAGGATTATTGAGTAGAACATTTTGTTTTGCGTCACAATGATTTATGACTAACGATGACATTTTACGTCAGTGATCAGCCAGTTGTAAAGAAAAAGAACAAAAATTGTTCATACAATTGTTCATAGTTATTACAAGAAGTCACGACAAATAAAACATGCAGAGAAACGAGTAAAATGTGTCGTGTTTRACAGAACACCGGGAAAAAAGAATGGATTGCATGGCGAAAGTCTTGTTCATCCATTTGACAGACGTATGACTGAGAAGACAGTTTAGAGCCGAAGCGAGAATCAAAGAGCAGTAAAATGGAACGGGCTTACAGGAGCTTCAGATATCTACGTCCATCACAAAGACGAGCACGACGTCTTCCTCCACCAGAAGATCCGTCTAAATGCACCAAGTACTTTCTATTTACAATGAACGTGCTGTTTTGGCTAATAAGTGTGGTAGTGTTGATGATAGGGGTCTATGTTATGGTAGAGTTAAAAGATGTCATTAATAGTCTCAGCGATATTTGGACACAGCCTGCCATTATCATGGTAGCGTTTGGCGCACTTCTTTTTATCATTACATTTGTTGGGTGTATTGGTTCTCTACGAGAGAATACTTGTATGTTGTGTTTTTTCTCTGTCTGCTTGGCAGTTATACTGTTGCTGATGCTGACTGCTGGAGTACTGGGCTACCTCTACCGAGAACCTTTGAAAGAAGCAATCCACAAGAAACTCAGCGATGCCATCGTGTTTTATCGTGACGAACAAAAGCAAGACCTACAATTTCTCATAGACACAGCGCAGACTGAGATAGAATGTTGTGGTTCTCGTTCCTATGAAGACTGGCAGCTCAACAGCTACTTCAACTGTTCGTCACAGGCCCTTGAACGATGTGGAGTGCCTTTCTCGTGCTGCAAAAAAGAAATTCAGCTCAACAGACAGTGTGGTTATGCAGAAGAGGAAACTAAACGACCGCGACAAGACAACATTTACAGAGAAGGTTGTCTTACCAAGTCAATTGCGTGGATTCAGAACAACCTCTACATCATTACAGGACTGGCCGGTGCATTGCTACTGCTGATTATTGTCTCCACATGTATGGCTTTGTCTCTGAGATCGCAAGTGCAAGCTATCCACGAATACGATAAAAACAATAGCATTAAACGAGGTACATTTAACAGTAGACCCGCCCACTGACGACCAACCTTAGAAACACATCCAGTTTTTTACTTGTAATAATAATAATAATGATAGTTTATTTAAAGTGTACTTTCCTGTAAGTCGCTGAACAATGATAAAATATTCATTAAAATAATACAATAATAATAACAAATTAGATAAAAACACACTAAATATTCACAGAAATACAAAACTAATAAAAGCCTACTGTAAATTATTTTAGAATACTATCAATACTGCGCCATCATTTTCCTTACGATTGTCATAATCATGTTGAGSGTGAGAAAGTAAGCCATTTCAGTGCTCAACTAGTGATAACTCCTTGTGTTTTAAMACTGCGTCAGTAAAACCAAACCACCATTTTCTGCCCCCTCACGTTTTTTTTAACACTGCTACGGGCCTGTTACAGCTGGCTGGGACATAAGAACAGATATATTTCTTCCAGGAACCCATCGGCTCCTCCTAAAACTTGTATCGCTGTCATTGTCTTATCTMTGTTCTCGATAGCTTTAGTTAGTGTGTGAGCAGTGATTGTATTTTATGTGTTTGCGACCTGCATGTGACAGGTTTTGAGTTGCAGTTTATCCAGCTTTTTCCCAGATGTGTTAAGATTATGATTAMATGATTAAGATTATATTAACATCATTGATGATAACTGTTGAAAGGTTTTTTATGACATCGTGAAATCTCACTTTTTGATGTTTACTTTATTGTTTTGAGCTAGAGTAAAGTCCCCCATTAATAGCTAGCTTAAAAAGTTTTTCAAGACTCCCCCCTTTTTTTACGCTTAGAAAAATTTAAAGACCCACAATTTAACCCTCCCCCCCCATAAATAATGAACGGTCCCTTAATCAATTTACCCCTATTGCACCAATCAATAGTAAAGAATGAACACGATTGTATTTTTGCTGTTCTTTTATTATTCCTAGAAAAGCTCGGATTCTGGCGAGCATCATTGTTTATTAGCTATGACATTATAATTATGATTACAGTTTTYCATTTGAAATTGACGAACACTTGTTTTTGGGCAAACTGGGTAAAAACCAATTCGCAGCCATTCCGTCTTCACGAGTCTCTACTAGTWATACTCATAGAGGACTGTATACGTGCAATACTCTCGAGTACTAAGAGTAATACTCGTAAAGTATTACATACTAGCAATACTCAACGAGTATACTTTCTACGAGAAATACCCACCCGGAGTATTATTYATGGCCGCGTAATTTCGAAATGGGAATGGTCAATATGTAAAAAGGACGATTTTTTTTCTGGACATGCATAAAGCTTTGTACAGAATCATGATTCCCCAGAGACCGCCATTCACATTCACGAGGATTTTGAAGAGAGGTGAAACGCGCCCATTGCCGATTAGACCAAGAAATACAATATTGCTAACCCTGATCTAAATACAAGAAATATTGTAGATAAACATTGATTAACATTCCCAAGATTAAAGCRAGTTTCTTTTACACTGCTGAGTATGATGCTAACCACCTGATCTAACCATCTTTTGTAAAGAGTTAAGTCAATATGATATGTAATATTGTTAGTTACATTCGATGACAACAGTATATGGTCTGTAAAACTAAAACTGCTGAAAACACTGTGCAAATCGATGCTAGCTATCAAACGTGCTGTCAATTTCTCTATTCGTTTTCTCTATGACATGAACTCAGTAAGGTACCTACTAGTGACTAGTTACCAGTCTCACTCGTGGGCGTACCAGTAACTTTGTAGTTACCAGACTAGTATTGGTGAAGGTTGCCTCAATAAAGATTAAGATCAAGTAGGGTTTGTTACTTTTTGAAAATGACGGTTGTAAGAGCCCCAGCTTCAATATATATATAATATTTATATTTATACTTAATAAGTTTACGAAATAAAGTGTTATTCACCATGTTTTGGAATTAAGTACGCCATTTTCAAGTGCATACAAATTTCACTATTTCCCTATTTACCCAAAGGAAAACTGTCCCCATTCGCAAGTTATTAAGATTGAAATGAAAAATGTAGCAAAGGCGACATTACCTGAACCTCAYTTAGCATTATCATACCGCCATCGCATCGAAGTAGCGTCAGTTCTCCCAAAACATGTCGAGAATAAAACGTTTTTTCGTACACTTCAGAGTTTTCGTTTGTGCTTCTACGATATATATTTATAATGTTAATATTAATAAATTTCTTTTGAAAGCACACATAATGTACACTAGTTGTATAAAACAATGATAATAGCAAGTCTTATAAAATGATTCTTATATCTTTTTCATTATTCATTTTTTCTAAAACTGCTTCAAATTTATGAGTTTGACCAAGTCCAATCTTGAAAAAACAGTCTGCGYGACACGATGTGCATAGAATCAGATGCAAAACTGTGCACATTGGTAATGTCAATTTATATAGGGAAACCACCAACTCACATTCATTATGTCCAAACTTTCAGGTTTTTATTTTATTTTGGTTTGTTTCGTTTTTATTTTTATTTTTTCTGTTATCTCCTGAATTCTTTTTTGCCAAACAATTCTCTAGAAAAACGTTCAAAAGCAGATGAAAATGACGCGGATTGATAATACATGTTTTGCTACAATTGTTGCATCCAGTCATTAATAAATACCAAGCTACAATTGTAGGTAACATGCCATTTCACATGTTACTAGTAGGAATATGATTATATAAATGCTACCTGTGTGATATACTACAGGGACTTTCTAAATGACGTATTGCAAACAAAATTGTGGTTATTCAACTCTTGAATGCAAAAATAAGTTKTATATATAATTTTATGTAAGTTCGACATGAAAAATGCAAAAATTCCTCTTATGAAAATTGAATGACCTGAAAGAAAAATAAAATATCATTTAAAAAGCATTACGTAGACATCCCAAAGAAAATGACTTGGTAATTGCATCGGCATATTGCCATAGAGTGAAAACATTGAACCCGTTAAACAAAATCATGCAGTCCAAATGTAATATATACGAGAGAAAACATCCCAATTTGGCGAGATCATTTGTGGGAACCATCAATTTATCATCTWATTACTAGATCATCAAAGTCAGCTGACCTTACTATGTGGTTTATCCGGTGCTAGGACTGGTTTCCCTTTCGTTTGAATGATCCTACATACAAAAACAAACACTGCTATTGACGGACAACTGAAGATTCCTAGTCAGTGCATTCATATATCCCTAAAATATATTGTACAAAATTGCAGGCTAGTTTATAGAATCAAGTTTGCAAACCATTTCACGGATATATGGAATGCACTGAATCGAGTACTTCTGATTTACTCTGACTGAAATGAATTGACAACAAAGCGTTGGGTAGAGGGCGACACGATGCATGCATGACACATATAACGCTAGTCAAAACACACAAGTAAGCATTTCCTATTAAAACCATGCAACAACGTATAACAACTGCAGTCAGAGTTGCACGACATCGCAAGATGTYTCTTTCTGTCATTAAAAGGGGCCACAAGGGAGGAGAGGGTTRGGGGTTTAAGTTAAACTCACCAGAAGACCGTAATTCAGTATTGTTTTTAGACATCACTTTAGGAGACGAGCTGGTACTGCATTGACTCAAAGATGATTCTGAGCCTGAAGAAGATCTTCTCACGAGTTCTTGGTTTTCTTTTTGTTTAGACTGTTTATCTTTAGTTTTAAACACTTTGCGCCAAGATTTAGTTCGCTTCAGCTCAGCCAGCTAGACAAAAGAACACACAATTTTCGATTCACGTTGTTATGTTCTTGATTAATCTTAAAACCGCTTATATTTTGAGAATTTATTTTACCATAATTCCATGTTTCTTTCTTTTTGTTTTTATTTAAAGCCTAAAACTCTTTTTTATTCAGTTTAAAGCCTTAGAACGTTTTTTAAAAAAGCTCATTTCAAATGTTTGATTATTTTGAAGAACTTTTTTATTGCCATGAAATTATTTAGAATGTCACATTAACTGTTTTTTTTAATAAATATCTTGAAACTATTGCTTTCGAATCGATTCAGTTAGAAACTATGGGAATACCGGCGGACAACTGAAACAGTTTTCAGAATGCTTCCAAATTCAATGTTGCACATAAAACATAAACATACTTTGGATGCTTTGAAAAATGCAAAAACAAGTAAGTTTATGGTACAATGCTAAACATTGTGCGTTTCTGCCCTATGGATATCCCATAATTTCGTCATAATTCGAAAAGGGGCCCGCATTAGCAATAAGGTCTAAGCTTAGGATGAGTAACAAATATTTCAACAGTAAATTGTCAATATAATGGTAGGAGGAGTGTTTGTAGTCATTTCTATTTCAAAGTGAAATGATTTTATTTTTGCAAACTTACAAATGCGTGTGACCGTTCACGAACGAGAAGGATTACAACAGTACGTACGAGAAAAAATTTGAGCTGAATCTCAAACTTCAACYAAGTACTTACATCATTAGCAACAACTCTGTCTGTACCACTGCAAAGCAGTTTTGTAAATTCTCGCTCCAAAACGTGACGAATCTACAATATAAATGCTATTCACATATAGCTCTTGAAAACAGACCATGAAATCAACAATGTCAAGATAGGACACGGAAAGGAGGGACTCAGGATTCGGACTCGGTACGGATGCAGAGAGATAGGAAAGATGAGAGGCAAAAACTCACCTGARTATTTTGGCTTGGTATTTGCAGAGCATATGCCAAAGCATTGACATCAAAGCCTTCGTCCAACGCTATAACAGCCCCATGGACGCCACTGTGTCTCAAGTTGTCAGCAAATTCTCCAAGGCCAATAGATTTGAGCCAATCAATGACACGCTGATTACTCCAAACAAGGACATCTAAAAAAGGAATATATCATTGGTACTACTAATAT